ATTATATTGATAGTAATAACGTAATAATAATGATAATAATGTTAACCAGCAAAATATTGATAATAATATTGATTATAATTTATTGCTCTAAAATAGCTCTTTTTCGATTTTCGAGGTTATTCGCATTTCATGCAAACTGCTGATGAGAAAAAATTCTTCTCATTTCGGAACTTGTGGTAAACAGACGATTTCAACGACAAATGTTACTTTAAACGTCAATAAATCAGAACATGTTTATAATCTTCTAGCAGTAATTATTATTATCATTACTGCCGTCGTTATCATTTATTATTATCATTAAGCAATTGGTGTCACTGAATTTAACTGAATATCTCCTAATAAATACTAAATAAATAGAAAATACTAGATATTGCAAACGGCACATTGCCCGATTGAGTGCGTCTATATGTCTGTATCAAAATGTGTTTAAAATTTTTCATTTAAAAATTTCATTCAATAAAAAGAATAATAAAATCATTTGAAATGCCACTTAACACTTACTTCCGTTGCATTTCAATCACTTTAATAAGAACATTCTTGATCGTTTCACTTCTTTTTTCTTTACGTCATCAGGTTACCGTTTCATTTTATCAACTGGTTGTTTTTAATTTGAAATATATTCTCAACCGTGATAATAAAGGTAATAATTATCTCAATTGTGATAATAAAGGTAATCTTAATCGAAAGAATAATAATATTCCTTAACAATTACATCATTAAAGCATGGAATAGAATAAAGATTACTATTGCAGTGATAAAGGATGATAAGAATTACATGATAAATCTGGCAATGTTGATAATGCTTTTGACCAAAATAATCATTACGATTACAAATGTAATATCAGTAACTATAGATAAGAATATGATAATAGCAGCGGCAATAATACTGCAATAGTAAATGAAATAATAATATCAGAAGGTGTGTGTCCCTCTCCAAAACAGCAAAGGTATATTTAATTGTAAACTGTGCGATTTGAAAATGATCATATTGTACACGTTGAGCAAACTATCGAAACAAGCGCCACTAGCACTACTGATAAGGTACCGATAATAAAGCAGACAAACTGGCAATTCACGGAACAAACAGTACATCAGTGATGATAACGATATCATGTGCCATAAAAATAACTATCTCTCATCAATAATTCTAGTGAAGTTTCCTAAAACTGCTCACTTAAAGTACAATTTAGCAAATAATTCATTTTATAGTCATCACTTTTTTCATACTGCTCACATATAATTTATTCATTTATCGATGTATTTTGATATAGCATGAATGAAGGGATTTGTTTTATGATATAATACTTCACTTGTAATCTGGGAAAATGTTGGTGGTTCTGAGCGTATCGTTTCCTTGTGAAAAATCCTTTATTTGCTTTTTTAGTTTGAAGAAATTTTTTTTCTCGTTCAAAAACGGACGAACCGATGCTCAAACAAATAATGATTGATTACAATTGAATTATTGTGCTGACTGAAATTATTCTCTTTGTTTTTTGTGGCCCCAGCAGAATTGCAAAGTATCAAACATTAATTAAGAATGATTTTGCGCCCATTGCGATGACGATTTTTATGCACTTGCATTAAACATTATTTGAAGTGATCAATTAATTTATCTATTTTTTAATATCTATGATATTACTCAATATTATTGTTGATGATAATGATACTGCTTCATAATCGAAATTGACAAGGATAATACTGGTGCTTTTTTGATATTATCAATAGGAGTTGAACTGCTCGAATGATTTTTTGTCAATAGTTTAATTGTTGAAGATGAATTTGCTCGGTTATCGATATCGTCATCGAATAATCGTTATCAAAGATCAATTGCGTTACGCTCTTTGCAGCTGAGCGCTCGTTGAACGATTACAATCAATCACTCGTCCGTTTAGATTTCATTCGAATTATTTTCTTCAGTTGAATTGCTGATGTTTTTTTGGTGTGGGTCGGTGATAAATTATCTTTTGCGATAATAACGACACTAAGAAATATCGTAATAATCATGATAAATATAGCAATTACATTTAAACGTGTGCAATGAGAATACCAATAATGATATCATTGACAACTGATGCAATCACTAGTAATGATGATTGATTTTGTTGTAAAACAATAATCCGAGCAGAATTTTTAAAGAACACTGGAAAATGTGGAAAAAGAACTGGGAAAGGGAATGGAATGAAAAGAAATGAAAAAATAGAACATTTTCAAAATTATTTACGATTAGTAAATGACAGGAGGTGTTCGCACAATGAACACTCAAAAATGTTATCGCCACTCAAATTCAACTGATAGCAGCGAACGATTGTTGCTATCAGTTGTGCTGCTTGCATTGGAAAAACGGAAAATCCCACAAGAAATTGCACGAAAACAGAACGTTGGAAAATGGAATATGAAAAATTCGCTTCGTTTTTATGAAAAATCACTTCAAAGAAATGGCAAAAAATTCGGCCACTGATTGATCGTATGCTAGCAAAAAAGATTGTCGAGTAAAGTATGCGATCAAACGCAATATCGTTTATTAACATCATGACGACAGAATGATGATGATCAATGACATTTTATTCGACATTTCATTTGATTCCATTCCATTTAGTGATTATTGCATTGCATTTCNNGTTTTCAATTTCAAATTTCACAATAGCAATAAAATTTTCGCAATCATCCCGCAAATGCTATCATAAAAATTTTTCGTTAAATAAATTCCAACATTCAGGAATTTTCCGCGGAATTTCCCATTTTTCATAAACAGCTGCTAATGGAATTCATCGCAGAGCCTCAACGAATACATACATATATGCACACCCTATTTTCATGCAATTTCCATGCATTATTCGCTTTTATAGCAACAGCAATAGTCGAATGGAATGAGACAAAATTCGCTTCAGATATTACGAAACTATCGTTTAAAATCCCATAGCGACATTCATTGCGAGTTATGAGACACCATTTTCTCATGAAACCGATGATATCATATCATTCGGTCGAATACATGCAGCAATTGTCTAAGCATAAAAATTCCCATAAGAATCGACCATTCAGCGAAATTATTTTCAACGAAACGATCGGTCGAATTGCGAAATGATATCGAAAAATGCCTTTTGCTAATTTGGAATCATATTTTGTCTCATTGTCAGAACATTAATGTAATGAACCACCGAATTCATAATTTCTAATTATGTTATTATGGTATGCCTCTTCAACTCTTCTAATCATCCAATACTCTCCTATAATCATCTTCCAAACATGTTTCATGTTTCATGAACACTTTCTTTGTCAAATTCTAATCTGTATTTTGATCTCTGTGCTCGGTGTAATCTTAAATATCATATAGCAGATTATGAATGTGAACTGATTTAAATGACATACGAAACTATTTACAATTTATAATGATCTTTTACAAATCTAATTCAATTGTTCTCAACTGTCAACAATATGGTAGATATGATAATGTAGACAGATAAATAATACTACCACTAGTTACACCATGATAATGCCAATAGCAACGATAATAATGATAATCAATAATTTACAACGCAAATAATTTCACCGCCACAATGAATAATCACAATAACACTAACAATGATAAGTCGAAACAATGGTTATGATATAAACAATGATAATAACAAAGATAATTGGCAACATGAATGCATGTGTCCGACCGAACGCTTCTGAATGATAGCGATGAGTGACACTCGTTATGGGATAATCATCGAGTTGACTGACCATCCAATTAATAATTCGTCATCGCATAATTATGAAAGAGCAATGTCAATTGAACAATGACATCATTTGTTATGAGTAAATCTTTTGTGTAAATGTTTACGATTGTTTGCGGAGGGGAATTAATTAATCATTTACTTAACTGACTAGATCATAAGAAGATAACAATGAGAATAGTGACAGTAGTACAAATGATAATAACGGTATTAATGAGATCGATAATTGTGATTATAATCATAACAAAGGAATGAATTCAAAATATATTTATTGTTAGATTAAAATCTCGAATGTTCACTTATCGTTAGTCAAATTTTATTTAATTGTAACATCCAGCCGAACATATCAATTATTGTAAATAAGATGCGTTATTCATCATAAACAAACGAACATATGCATCTATTCATAACCAGATTATCGAGATAATCAAATTATTTATGCATATACAATTATGATTCATCGCATAACTATTCGCTCTTATTCTCTAAAAACTGTAAGCATTCGACTTACTTCATTTCTTCTTTTAATTCGTATCAATCAACAAAACAAAAATGACATAATCACATAATAATAAGAGTGATATAAGTATTGATTCCATACAGATCAAATGTACAATTATCAATAATACATAACTTCAACCAAGATCGCTCTTAACAACCTCGCTTCATATGTTACCGTATTCTTGGCACTCTCCAGTTCTGATTCCATTAACGGTCCATCCACAATTGTTGGTATATTCTTACCATAAACTGTAATAATAACAGCAATAATAATAACAATAATAATAATAATAATAATAATAACAATAATGATAACAATAACAATAATAACAAACATACGAATGAAACTAA